TTTCCCTTCCCCACTCCGTTGTTTGGTAAGAGGTTGGTCGGCCATTACTTTCGTTTATACTCTCGTTCGCCGTTAGACCTACTTTGGAGATTCACGTTTCGCACTCAGGACTTAATCAAAAGATTCGCATAGAGGGGTAATAGTAAGATGATGGCTCTCGAATCACCACAGCCGCTTTCGAGGAAGAAGTCGATATTCCGACGTTTCTCCAGACGAGAACGCGGCGATGCTCCTCCGTCGCCATTCCTCATGAGCGAGGGCTTACGATCACCGCATCTACAATCGTCAAATCCACAGTCGCCGAGAAGGCTACAACGCCGCCCATCACACCGACCGTTGAGCCTTCTTACACCGCCAGCATCACCTACAGAGAAGACTCCTATCGTAACTATCGATGCTTCGAAACCTCAACAACCCAAGATGGTCACACACATCCAGCGCATCGAGTTGCCAATATATCAACGCAACCGGAGCGAATTCACACCTCCACCCTCTCCAGAACCGCGGCGACGCGTCCTCCCCAGCGCGCTACCAACCATGCCATTTCCCGGCAAGCCTCTCATAACGTCGTGGAATGTCTTCCTCCCACCATCACAAATATACTCGTTATATCTTGGGTATGCCTCACGGGACATGGACGACAAGTGGTACATCTACAGCGAGGGTCCTGATCAGGCTGGAAAGCTAAAGGTGCACTTTCATCGGAGTTGGACTGGCATGAAGGTCGCAGAACTGTTTGTGGTAATGGATACAAAAGGCGAGGGTGCCGGAAAGATTGTTGGCATCAAGTGGAATGGAGGTGAAGAGATGAACTGGATGAGCGAAGAAGAGGCCAAATACATGATACGGACGGCCTGCAGGTGGCAATTAGCTGTGGATTTGGAGAAATGAAGCCACGCGACATGTGGCGAGGCCGAGAGCCTGTTTCTGTTCGGCGGCAAGATGTTTCCTCTTTCCTTTTCTTGACGCGCATTAGCCCGCGGCTTTCCTTCGATCCGTACCGTTTGGCGTCCCATGAAACGACGTTCCAAGCATTCTAATAAGATCTCTATACCCGTTGAGGGTATATAACCCTCTAATATCAAGCTTCTCTTTTCAAGTGCCGCATTGGCGCGCGCCTCGTTCCCGTGATCGGTAGTCGTAGCGTGAGCTGTTAATACTACGCCCTTGATCTGATAGGTTCACCCAGTGAGGAACTCTCAGCATCCGACCAAAAGTAAAACATGCGGATTCAACAATCCGATACCCTCTCTCTGGGGTAAAGCGTGTATACCGGTGGAGATATCGTGGTGTTGGTGGTATGACTTCTTGCTGCAGCCTCGCGCAGGCTAATCAGGCCACCCTGCTATCGCGCCCTCCGGATCCTATGGAGGCATACCCAGATCGTGTGATTGGATCATGAATGCAATCAGCTTGTGGCACATGGAGCATATTTTTCTTTTATCGCATTCTCGAATTTATCCTCTTCGCCTTCATTGCAAATGCCAGTGGCATAGGTCATTACAAAGTCTCAACACAATGATGACGGTGATGTGCCGTGTAACTAGGCTCGTGGGGTCCAGGAGCCGCCAACTGCACGCTTCCGAACATCTTTCGCGTCTTCCCTTCTTCGGTGCTACTGTTCCTCACCCACAATCTCTCCCCACACAATCCATGGCAGCGAGTGTAGTACCGACAGAATTGAACCGTTCGGTCCGAAATGCAGTCCAACTTCACGCCTTCCTCCAAATCTTCTTCTCCCCAGCCGCAGCGCCTGCCTGTTAATCCAAGACGGCACAAGGTCGACCCGTCGTTACGAAAGCGCGTCGTAAGAGCGTGAGTAAATTCCCAGCCTCGTGTTTCGCTTTGGTACTGGTTGTGGTTTCTTGGTACTACGGTGCCGATGGATGTCGGGCAATTAGCAAGCGCATACGTCAGCAGGGCTCATCGGCAGCATCACGAACACGCATCGCTCAAGTCATGCACCATGCAAGCACCCGTCTAAAGCTCATCACTGACGTACGGCGCGTAGATGCAACGCGTGCAACGTTCGTCGAGTTCGGTGCTCGGGGGAGCAGCCGTGTCAACGATGCAGCAAAACCTCACGCGATTGCGAGTACCCAGCACCAGAATCAGATAAGCACTCTCTCAAAGACGAGCTCGAACGCTTGCGAGCGCGTTGTGCAGCACTCGAGACAGGGTTCAAAATCGCTGCACCTGAAGAGGCCGCCGAGATCATTGGACAGCTCGACCATGGCGGGCCAGGATCGCGTTCGACCGCGCCGACTTTTCTTTCCGTCTCAATGGAGCTCGATCAAGCTGACACGAACGATGGTCGCCTGCTTGTTGACCCTTGTGGCACCCCGAGATTCTTCGGTGAAACGTCTGGAGCGACGTTCCTGGATTACCTAAAGCAATTCATGCTTACGCTGGTTCCTCTGACTTTCCAGCCCGAGTCGGCGGATGGGTCTTCGTTCGTTGCATCAATTGGACGTTATCAGACATACGACTCGCGACCAATTCCCAATCCAAGCGTGGATCCGTTATGGCTTCCGGATCAGGACGACATGGCATTGATGCTTGCCCAACTGCGAGCCTACATCCAGGATGGCAATGGCGAGTTTCTGTCTGGCGGAATATACTGTAAGCTATGCGTGGATGATTGACTGTGCTTCCACTAATCTTCACCCAGGGTGGGGCGATCTCACCCAGTTCCCCACGTCTGCGGCTCCTTCCGTCTTGCTAAGCGCAATGACGACTGACGACACTCACCGAGGCTTAGCCTTCTACCATGTCTGCTTCGCCCTAGCTACGTCTTTCGGTCATCAGTCTTCTCGACGCTCAGATCAGCATGCGGGAGAGGCGTACTTCAAGCGTGCGCGAAAGCTCATCGGGAATCCGTTAGATACCGTGCGATTCACTCTGGACGATGTCCCTGTATTGACTCTTATGGGTTTCTATCTCATCGAGCTGAACCGCAGAGACGCAGCATACGTATATGTAAGAGAGACCATGAAGCATTGCATGTGAGACACGCATTAACAATCTCTAGGTCAGTCTAGCCATTCACATTGCCATTATACATGGCGCATTCAGGTCTTGCAACGATGAAGCGAGCAAACGCAAATTCTGGACTCTCTACATATTGGACAGATGGCTTTCCGTGTTGATGGGGCGCCCACCAACCCTACTTGATGAAGCTATAAGGCTCCCTCTACCATGCGATGTGCCGTAAGTATCTGTCACATCCAAAACGGAGAACAATGCTAAACTCCTCAGCTCAATGCCGCCATGTGCAGGTCTTCGAGCACACGTAGAGTTGTCACGCATCTCTGGCTATATCGTCTGCGAGACTTTCAAGATCGCTCCACGACACTACCAACGTGGCTACTCGACCATGAATGTGGACAAGGCTCTGGATCAACTCGAAAACTGGAAACTCAACCTCCCGCCGGTGCTAGCTATTGGCGTTGACGCTGATCCCGCGGTTCTGTCCCTCCATCTAGCTTACAACCAACTCATCGTCCTCACGACTCGGCCCATTCTCCTGGCCGCTGTCAAGCAAGCCGTGGCTGAACGCTACATGAATGGCACGTGGTCTGTGCAGCAACACGCGCATAGCAAATATGTTCAGGCCTGTCCAGAGGCCGCGCAGCGAAACTTGCTTTTGGCCAAGCGATTGCGATCTACAAGGAAGCTGCTGCAAGCTGGTCTACACTTCGTCTTCAACGCAGCTGTTATCTTGATACTAGACCAGATTCTCCACTCTTCCAGCACTGCCCCCACGGCTACCGCGCTTAATGTTCCAGTGTACGCCATGGAGATAGACTTTGCGATGCGCACCTTCGAGGAGGAGTCAAGAACCGGTACTAACTACCCCAGAGACTGTTACAAAGTCCTGCAAGATCTCAAGGCTCTTGTCGACCGCTACCTCTCCCATGGTCATGGACACTTCGAGCAGAGCAACGACCCCGGTCTCGTCATCAATACTCCCAGACCGCAGTACAATGCGCAACGAGACGCAGAACTTCAAGGAACCGCATCGAACACCACAGCTGGCACTGTGTACCAGGAGCTACGAACCTGGATGCAGAGTGACGGATTGAAGCTACATAACAGCTTACTCATTTGAAACGGACTTCATCCACCGGGAATGCTACCCGGACGAGTGATTGATCAGAAACCTTATTCTCCCCGCGGCGCCCTCTTATGCCCGCGGAATGCACAACCAATCACACCGCTGCAGTGACACTGATGAGGAAACGCCCGAAGGCAAGTAGCTCTTACCACCCTGCTGGACCATCAAGGGCCGGTCGACGCTATAACCGATAAACGAGACAAGAACTTGGTAACGGCACGTGTAGTGCATAAAGTTCCTGCTTCGAGCTGCCGCGCGGCGAGGGCATAGGGAAGATCGTTTCGAGAAGTTTCTATTACTTCGTATTATCGCGACGGCCATTCGATGACAGTAGACGATGTCATCATCTTCAATTTCAGCTTTGCCTCCACGGAAGCCCTTTTACCACTCTTGTCGAGATAAGCAACCATATGCAAAAACAGCGTTTGGCTCTCGCTCCGAGGTGTCATAGTCGAAACCCACCCGGCGAGCAGGGGTCGCACCTTGCGCGGTGGGCTCCGATTGGCCAAGCTTAGCCCGGCACGCTTCGATCTAGAGGCTCCTGCAGGCCAAGCTGTATAACCACCCTTTGATCGGACAAATTCAATGGGGTGAAAAGAAGCGGTAACATATCGACAATGGGTCACGGGAGGCCAGAGACTAGGGTCCTGGGGAGCTGAAGAGCCTCACCAAAGCAATTACGTACATGTGAATGAGGAAAATGGTCAAGGGCGTCTTTTATCTAGGGCAAGCTTGGCCACTTGATCGCGCGGAACTTGCCTTTACTATGGTTTCTACTACTAGAGAAGAAAGAGATCCTCTTATTTCCACTTGTGTTCGCAGCAGCAGCAGCAAATCCGCAGTCATGAGTTCTACGGTCAACTTGGAAAACCAAGCTCCAACAATGACAGACGAGGAAGCCCCTGGTCCAGAGGAGCGTTGCATGTCGAGTCGCGTGAACCGAAAAATGGACATTGCACTTTTACCTTGCTTGTCCCTGTTGTACCTGTTCAATGGATTAGATCGATCGAATGTTGGGAATGCGGAGACGCAAGGTATGTTTTAGATCGATCAGATCAACCCCATTATGCTGATCCTACGAACACCAAAGGAACGGTTCTCCCTAACGTCTTACATGCAGGGTTCACAAAAGACATCGGCGCAACTCCGGACGATCTCAACTTAGCAGTCTCGCTCTTCTTCGTCACATTCGTGTTACTCCAGCCTCCGTCGGCGGCCGTGGGGAGATGGTTGGGCGCAAAGCATTGGATTACTATCATAATGGCAAGCCTACAATATCGTTATTTTCACCCTGGCATTTCTGATACGAAAAGATAGATCGGATGGGGCATCTTCACCCTAGCCCACGCCTTCATCCGTGGCCCCGGCCGCCTCATCGCCGTCCGCCTCATGATCGGAGCCTTCGAAGCAGGCTTCTACCCTACAGCCATCGCATACCTCTCCACCTTCTACGGGCGCTACGACATGGCTGTCAGGATTGGTCTTTTCTACGGCCAATACGCTATTGCCGGCGCGTTTTCGGGGTCTATTGGTATGTTGACTTTACCTTGTTCAGTAATCACGTATTGTATGTCATGTATGCTAATACGGAACCAAGCATTCGGTATCTTCCACCTCAACAACACTCGTCTGCATAACTGGCAGTACCTCTTCATCATCGAAGGCAGTCTGACCATCCTCATCGCCATACTCGCGTGGTTCTGGCTACCAGCCGGACCAGGTAGCGCATGGTTTCTCAGCCACGAAGAGCAAGTCTTCGCCGTCCAACGCATCATCAAGGATAATTCTGCGTGGACCACACATGATTTTGGAAGGGATGGTGTGGAGAGGGAGAGGCTGACGAAGCGTGATGCGAGGGAGACGGCGACGGATTGGAAGTTGTGGTTCTTGCTGTTTTTTAATATCTGTGCCAGTGTGCCTAGTCAGGCTTTTTCGGTTTTCATGCCCATGGTCGTGCAGGGGTTGGGGTATTCGAGTTTGGATGCGAATTTGGTATGTTTACACGCTCATACACATGTACTCTACTCTTGACATTGGATCTGAGAGCTAACGTAAACGGCATCCAGATGTCCGTCCCCCCCTTCGTCTGCGGCGCAATCGGCCTCTACATCTTCGCCCTATCATCCGACCACCGCAAAGAACGCGGCTACCACATCATAACCGGCATCTTCATCTCGCTCATCGGCCTCATCATCACCGTAACCGCACCCACGCACCCCGCCCAATACGCCGGCCTCTGCATCCTCCTCTCAGGCTCCTACATCTCCGCGCCCCTAACCGTCGCCTGGCTCAGCGGCAACAACCCCGAGCCCGGAAAACGTTCGCTCGTTTTGGGCGTCAACGGCTTCGGCAATCTCGCTGGTGTGGTGGGCGCGCAGTTGTATCGGAAGCAGTATGCGCCGAGGTATCTGGTGCCGTTTTATGGTACGTTGGGGTTTGTTGTTGCGGCGTTGTTGGGGTATACGGCGTATAGGTTTATTCTTGTCAGGGTGAATAGGAGGAAAGTGGCGTGGAGGAGGGGGAAGACGGTGCAGCAGATCGAGGCGGAGAGGCTGGATGCGACGAGGTATGCGGATGCGAAGATGACGTTTTTGTATGGGCTTTGAGGATTTGAGCCTGTTTTGGGGGCAGATTGGGGATGGTGATGAGTGGACTTGAGAGATGGTGAGGATACCGGAGTTTACAATCCGCACAAATTTCAAAACAAAGCCAGAAAACATGCATGACCTAGGATGATGATAGGAAAGCGTGAGTATTCCGGGCTGATAATGATACTTGCATATGTTGCAGCTATTCGTGTTAGTGTATTGGTTGGAGGGCGAATAAGCATGTTACGTTTTCTCCTGAACGAGAAGATGCCGAACTCCTTTAACGAGGTCTATTCAATTGGGAGGAAGCCTGTAACAGGAACCTCACTTTATGAAGAACAGCCCTCTCCTTTGAATACAGTGAATATCCTTACTCCTCACTAGTACTACTTCCATCATCCGCAACCATACTCTCCACCTCCTCCTTGCTCTTAAAGTCGCCAAACATGAGATAAACCCCCGGCACCCCATACCCCTGTAACTCCTTCCTGACCCCCTCCCTCGCAGCACTCTTAACATACCGCCTCGCCTCCTGCCACAACCGCTCACTCCCCGCCAACGGCTCCTCCGCATACCCAATCCACTCGCCCATCCAAGCCTCCCTATCCCTCTCCATCTGCCAAAATGCCAATCCAGCCCTCACGTAAATCCAGCCTACATCGCTGCCCTCCAGAAACTCCGTCAAAAAGTGTTCGAAATCAGGGTTTAGGCTCTCTTGCAGGATTTTTATGCTGCGGAAGCCCCAAAAGGCGGCTTCGGCGTACTGGCCGAGGGCGTTGTAGGCGGCGATGGTGCGGGAGACGAGTTTGAGGCGCAGGACGACGCGGATGGTTATGCCGGTTTGGCCGGCGTAACGACCCGTGGTTATGGCTTCGTGGAAGAAGTCGTCGGCGAGGACGCGGCGGGTGCGACCGGAGATGAGGATGTGAATCGAATGGAAGGCTTTGTTGTAGAGGTCGAGGGCTTGTTGGGCGGCGGCGTGCTTCTCGTCGGCGGTGAGGGTGTTGGTTGGAGAAGGTGTGGCGGAGGCGAGGAGGACGTCGCCGGCTAGCATGTGGTCTGTAGCGTTTTCGACGGATTCGCGGAGTGTGGGTATTGGGATGGCTTGGAGCTTGGCAAGTTCTTCGCGGACGACGGGGGAGTAGCCGTGGATGTGGGTGCTGCTGAGGCCCTTGACGTGTTCGAATGGGAGGAGGAGCTTGCGTTGGAGAGGGAGGGGGATGTTGTGGTCTTGCTGTTCTTCCCCTATGACTGCCTCGCCATTCTCGCCATACGGATCCCGCAGAACGAACGTGGTAGATAGCCGCTCGTTGAGCATAGGGTAAGACAACGCACTGTAGTACCAAGTCTTCGTGAAAAGGGGCAGATCGTCCACCAGCATAACAACCATATGCTCAGGTACCTCGCCATGGAATGGCGCGGTAATCTGCACAATGGCATGGAAGTCGTTGAACGCATCGGCGCGCGCATCCGTGCAAACAATCGGCACGAGACCCTCGGAGGAAATGTGATTAACTAGAACTACAGCGTTGGTATATCAGCCATGCACAGCAAGCGACGAAGAAAGACAAGGGAAAAGCTCACGGCGTCCTCGGCGACCGGTAAGTTCCAATTGCTCTGGCACACCATCCGTAGCCATTAGATAAACGCGATACATACCCGCGCTCGGCCAAGGAGTAGCAATCTTGACAAAAACGTTTTCTCGTCTCCATACTGTCTTCGCTTCGGCGTAGATTTGTTTGTTTGCGAGCCAGAGGTTGAAGTCCCATTGGTAGACGCCACCGTAGAAGCCTTTCGCTTCTAGTTCCTCGCTGCGGACTAGGTGGTCGGCGGGCGTGAAGTAGATGGAATAGATTTGTTCGCGAAGTTCTAGGGGGAGGCGTAGGAAGGGGAATGGGTTTGGTGTGGCGGCGGTGGTGGTTGTGTCCTCAGACATCGTGGGCGGTGAAGGGGGGCGTTGGGATGGTTTGGGTTTGGATGCGAAGGGGTTGGTTACGAGAGAGGTGAACTGGAACATGGTAGCGAGAGTACGCGATCACAGAGCTTAGGTCGCTCTAGAGAAGTGTGGTACGGGCGGCTGGGAGATGCATGACGGAGGAGGAATCTGCCCCACCTTTAGCTCCGGTATTAACGCCGCGGGCCGAGGCATGGAAGAAAGATGCAGTTTATCGCTTTCTGCTTTTGCTTCCACTCCCAAACCTAATGCTTAAGCAACGTTAGTCATGCGCCCAGGTTACGTGCATACTTGTGGCGGTAGTTTACCAGGCCGGTCTGAAGCATTCGTCTCCATGATCAATGACGATGGCTGAGGTAACTGCACACATGAGTGTATATGTTCATGTCTTTATTCCATCATATATAGTACATGTAATAGATATCCAGGACACCCATTCCCGGGTGGAACACTCCTGTCATATCCGCATCAGAGTGGAACAGTATCTTTTCGTGGTATCTTTCAAATCCTTAAACGTACAATCCGCAGCTCCTCTACCGTGTCTGGGTAGGTGGTACTCCCCCTTGGTGGCTAGCTGCTGCTTCTGGTGCACTCGCTGCTGAAGGCACTGTCGCAGTCTGAGGCGCCGAGTTACCTGCACCCAACCAACTGAATGCGCCTGCCTTCATATCGTTGAGCTGAGCTTCCTGCATCTTCTTCTCTTCCTCAGCCATCTCTTTGAGCCATTGCTCTCCGTTCTCGCGAATCTGCTTGTCCAGATGAACGTAGTTCTGCTTATTGAAGTCGCGGTACATGTCGATCATCATCTTGCCTTCTGACATGCCCTGACTGATGTTCTGGTCACCGAGAACCATGCCTTGTTTCGGTCCGTCGAGACCCAGACTCTTCATGAACATGCCACCGGCACTTCCCTTGGTCTTCTTCTGCTGCTGCTCGAGGTCGCGCTTGAATTGTTCGCGGAGTTTGGCCTCGCGGCGGGCGTACTCAACCGGGATGTCTTTGCCTTCCATCGACTTGAGAACGGTGCGGACGTCGATTGGTGTACCAGTTTGAGACATCATGGCAAGGTATTCGAGGAAGGGGATCAGGGCTACGAGGCCCTTGTCGCCGGGCTCGCCCTTCCACTTGGGCAGGATGATGGCGTTTTCGGGTTGGAGCTTGACGTGCGAGGGATCGGTGTCGATCATGATGACTTTGGAGAGGTCGCGGTTGAGGTAGGAGAGGTCCTAGGATGGTTAGCAGAAATCTCATAGATCGGAAAACAGACATACCTTGATGTACTCGCCCTTCTCGAAGCGAGTAGCCTCGCGGAACAGTGGCCACATGACGAGACGGAAGGGGTCGAGCTTGCGGATGATGGGGTCGGCGTCCATGGATTTGACGGAAGTGAAGATGACGAGTTCGTATTGCGAGCTGAGGTATCGGAGGAAATAGTCAAGACCAGGTCGCTTCGCTAGTCGGTAGCCGTGCTTTGTGGTCCATTCTGAGTGCAGCAGGAGATCCTCCAAACTGAGTACCAGAGTAAGTTCTGGGGCGCCTCCAGGGATCTTGTCCTTGTCTGGCAGCAACTTCTGGAAGGTAGGCTCTGTGTAGTATGCCTTTTGTCCGTTGATGCGGGCGGCTGCACGGGCGTACATGCCGCCCAACGTCCAGCCATTCGGAGCATCGATGTGTGCGGCTTCCTCTTCTTCGTCCTCCCAGTTTCGGCCCATGAAGAGTGCACCCGTTGTACCGAAAAGTAGCATACCCAGGTAGGACCAGTTGGCGACGCGATTCCGCCGCCTGTCGGTGCTCGTCTCATATGCGGACTTGGGCAGTTCGCCGCCACTACCGCCCTCTCGGCCTCCAGCAGCGCCTGGTGTCGGGTCTTCGTAGAACTCGTTGGGGTCGTTGGGGTCTCGCTTCGCCTTTCCGTCGGCTTTGGCATGCTCCTCAGCGAACGTCGAGGGGATTCCATATCGCAGGTCTGGTAGTGGCTTTTGCGGTTGTTGCGACTCTGGGCTTTCGGTGGTGGGGTCGGTGTTCTCACTGGGCGACTTGGGCCCCGACATCTCCTCCTGCTCCGACATCTTAAAGTCCTTTCCGGCATCTTTCGAGGCTTGTGTTGCGCTCTCCACTGGTCTTGAGGGCTGTGTGGGTGTTGTGTTCTTCTCGGGCGCTGATTCTGTGTCGAACTCGGGCTGCTCTGAAGGATTAACCGGGTTGGGCCGCGCCTTGTTGTCCTCGTCGAACTTGATGGGGTCTGAGGGTTTCCAGGTGTTGTCTTTTGGCTTGCCGACCTTGGCATATGTGCGCGTCCATTGCGAGGTGGAAGCTATGGGTGTGATGCGCGGCGCTGCCAGTGCAGACCGCATGCGCAGGGCGCGGAAGGCGGTTCTGGGGAGCATGGCGATAGAAGGGGGGGTAAAATACAAATTAAGAAGAAAAGGCGCCTCTAGGAAACATGGGCCGGGCACATGGGGGCGGTGGTGTGGGTGGTGTTGCGATGAAATAATTGATGGAGCAGGGCTTGGCGCAATGACGCTGCTTCCTCGCCAGAAATTCGCCCGTGTCATACGGCAATCGTGGCTTCACCAGTCCAGCAGGAACGCCGAACATGTGGCCCCGCTTAAACACCAACGCCCTCGTCGCCTCCCGCTGCTGACAGACTCGAGTCACATGTCGCCTCACAGGGACTTCTTTGCCCATGCGACTGACTGGAAGGCCTCTGCGGCGACATGCGCCAATGCCCGGAGGAGCACCCTTTCAGCTACTATGCATCCTCCTGCTATGTATAGGTTGCTGGACGACGCCCGCTCATGGCATGACCGATGAAGCCATAGCAGAATTGAGGTAATTTTATTGAACCATTCATGTCACATGTGTACTGATTTCGCAGACAAGAGACACGCGACATCTTCTACCATGGTTTCGATAACTACATGGAACATGCCTTCCCAGAAGACGAACTACGACCACTTACTTGCGCACCCCTCACTCGCGATCGTCATAACCCCGCCCATATCGAGGTCAACGACGTGCTCGGGAACTACTCTTTGACACTGATAGACAGCTTGTCGACGCT